TTAAATTCTTTTATTTCTTCTCTATGTTTTGTGATTTGATTTTGAATATGAATACAAATATGTTTATTGTGTTACCATTTTTAATTACTTTGTGCATTCAGGCACAGACAATAACTAATATTTAATAAAGTAACTTATAATTTAAATTTCAAAAGATAAACAAAATGACTTTTGCTATTCGCGGTTGAGATCGTTTTAAATTTTACTTTAAAGTTAATCTAACGACTAATATTAACACCCTAAATTTAATAGGAAAAATAGGTCCTAAAGGTGTGTCTGGAGTGACTTTTTAAAAATACTTATAAGAATTATTTCTCATAAGTACTTTAAAAAAAAAATAGTGTTTGAAACTGCCCACTACTACCTCTACCACCGTCGTCACCCCACTACAACCGATGTTTAAATTCATTTATCTCTCTTCTATGTTTGTGATTTGATTTTGGATATAAATACAAATATACCATTTTTATTACTTTGTGCTTTCAGACACAAATAATAAATATATATATATATATATATATATATATATCAAGTTTTGAAAGTAAAGTTGTCGAGTTATTTGCTACTTTCAATGTCAGAAATCTCAAAAAATTTCATTAGTGGAACTAATTATGGATTTACCAAATAAAAGAAAAAAAATTGTAGTGGAACCGTTAAGAGATTAGTATCTAAAATTGGCATATGAATTCATCTATGCCAACCTTACTTATTATTAGTTGTTTATCTTTAACATTAACAGCTATGCATAATTGGGGGCCATACCTTTATACTTAGCCTTATACTTAAGCAATGTGACAACTATGTGTTCACATTTGAGTCACCCCCCACCAGCCCAAGACATCTCAATTCATGCCTATCAAATCACAATTCTTCCAATGGATTCTCACACATGCCTAATATCGAACCATCTTCCACCATTTAAAGATAATATAGAGATTATGATAAAATAGGAAATCAAATTTTTTTTCCAGACATTTATAAGTAATATTGATATAAATATAGATAGATATAGTTATAGATATAGAAATTCTTATAAAATATTTTATTATAAATTGGCTTATTTATTTGAATTTATAATTAAACTTAATGTATCTTATACAATTGAATCAAAATGGAAAAAAAATTATAAAAAAATTGGAGACAACAATGTTATTTAAAACATTAGTTTTACAGATATCATATTTTTCGATAATCAAAAAATCTTATTGTAAAAAATTTAAAATGTCAAATGGTTTTTATATTTATACTACTAATAAAAGGAAGCTAATGAATTTTTTTTTTGATTTTCTATTCTACCCCTACTTAATCATATAAAAACAATCATATCCTATTATCCACTTTAACTCTCAAACCCTTCCCTTTCTAGGAGTAAATATTTGCAATTACAAGTGCAATAAATATATAGTATTACTTATCGAAGACTTTTCATATTCATAACATTAGAGAAAATTAAAAAATAATACAAGAATAACAGGTTCTCCTTTCAAACCCGCATTTTTCAAATAGCAGAGAAATCTTCTATCTTTAAAGGATAAAATTGTGCTTCCAAAATTTATTTACCAAATATTGTATCCAAATGATGTGTTAAAATTTTATGCATTATATATTTAAAGGAAATTATTAGATCCCACTGATCCAATCAACCACACTAATTTATAATACAAAATTTAGTACATAATTTGGTATACAGAACATTGCTCATTTTTAAATAATAGAGGCTACTGGTATTTTGGTTCTTCTCTATAGCTTCCATAGCTCTCTCCACTTCTGTCTTTTATGTTTTATTTTCTTTTGCAAGTTATCATAGATCTCATGAAGTAATACTTGTAAACAATATGTTCATAGTATAGTTAAGGCTCAAACTCTAAATTCAGAATATTCTACGTCACTACTCAAAGAACCTTATAAAGCTTAAGCCCAATAGGAAAGTTATATGTTAAATGGTCTAAATCCCATCTATAAGTCAACCCACAAATTCAAGATCCATATCTTTCTGTTTGTCCTAATGTTTCACAAAATTTATATCTTCAAACTCACTTAAAAATAACCCACTCAATTTTGTTGGCAAGAGTGATAATCTAACTTTGATCAATAGAGAATCAAAATATCAAATTTTAAAATTTTAAAGTAACACTGGTAAATTAAATTTTATTGTCATTTCATATTTTTCAGGGCTTTTGTTTAAATTCAAGCTTTATTATTACTATTATTATAGATCCTTTATTATCACATGTATTTATTTTGATTATATATTATAGACAACCAGCCGGATATAAAAACTTAAAAATAAGAAAAATTAAAAAACTATTTGTAACTCAAAAAAAATCTTTTGATAAATTTGTTACATGTATCAAACAAAAAGATATGTTTGTAATTTGATAATATATGATAGCAAAATTTAAGAATACAATAATTTAATTAAGAATGTGTATTTTAACAAGCGAGAATTATTTTTTTTTAAAAAATTGTAGAAATGTTAAAAAAAAAAAATCAAAACAAAAGACCCTATTCAGATTTGTCGCTTTACGCTTCAATATGTGTCAAGTCACTCCTGGCTTCATTTAATGTTATCTTACTATCAACTACTACTTTGATAATATAATCTGAGTGTAATCTAAGAGAATTTGATGTGTTTTAGTTACTGTTTAGATTCAATTTTTTTTTAATATTTATCTTCTCTTTTGATTTTAATTAGAAATTTTATTTGTCATGTCTTGGTGCCTGAAATTAGACTGTAATTTTTGAAATAACTATATGCAAAATTTACTTGTTAATTAAATTTTTATTCACTTCTATTTAATTTTAATCTATTTTTCAGTCTTCAATTGTCAAACATTTACTATAATATTGTAACTTGTTCCAATCTAAAGGTAATTTGGGGTGAAAAACTCTATATCTTGATAGAAATTCTGGTAAGTATGGCCCATAACCATGGTAGAACCAAAATATTAAAAATATAAATATCATAAACAACAAATAACTATTCAAATTAATGACCTAATGTGATCCTTTTATATTCTATCTCTTTTATTTTATAACTTAACACTTGTTTTATGCATACTTAAACCATAAATATAGAGATAATCTGGGTACAAAATAAAATTAAAAATTATAATTCAAAATAGTTTACATACAACGTACCGTGGACACAAACTAATTGATACTAAAATGTAAAAAATATTGGAATATCTAATATAAAAATGAGGGGATGCAAGTCCAATTTAGAGCGCATTTGGATTATATCTCAAAACAAAGTATTCAAAAATAATTTTTAAAAAGAGTTTTAGAAAAATGTGTATTTGTATTTTTTGTGTCTCAAAACTTATTTAGTTATATGATTATAAAAATAGTTTTACGTAAAACTTGTTGGAGAGTAACCTAAAAAGATAATAAAAATAATAACCAAAAAAAAATGGTTTCCCTATTTTTTTTTCGATTCCAATCATTTTATACCCAACCTTAATTTCTTCTCAAGTATCAAAATAAACATATTATACCCAACAACATAAACACAGCACCGAAATAATATTAAATAACTATCATATTATACCCAAAAACACAACACAAACCCAACTTTAATAATATTATACCCAGAAATACAAATACAAACTAGAGCTTCAATCATGTAAAAATCAGATTTGTGAATTTTACAGAGAGAGAGGTCGGTGCTGTTGGTCATCGACCTTCGACGTTGATGGAGCCCAACTGATCATAGAAACTAGAAAGATGAAGGAGTTGATGGAGCCCAACTAGTCATAGAAAGACGTCGGAGTTGTTGGTCGTCGTTCTGGGCGTTCATCTTGCTACATTCTAGGCATTCCAAGGTTTTTTTAGGCTTTATATAGTAAGGTGTTAATTTTACAGCCAACGAGATTGATGCTGGGATCTTATTAATTGAACTTTTATTTTCAATTTTTTTCTTTTTTTAAAATTTATTCCCAATTTCGGCCAAAACAATCCCCATTTTTTTTAAAACTTTCACCTTAATTATCAAATATCTGTACTTTTCACTCACACAGACCAACTAAGCAAATAACACTTTCTTTTTGACTCCTTTTGTCACATTCTTCTTCCCAGAATCACACAAACCAAAAGCATCACTCTCTCTCTATTACTTTCCTCTCTGTATCAATCAATCTCTTCCCAAGTTTATCTTTATCTCTCTTTCTCACTACGCACCATTAAAACCAGAGATAAGCTGCTCTTGCCAGCTGAACCAACACTCTGTAATTACCCATAAGCCCTGTTTTCCTCGTACCTGGCACCCATGCATAGCTTTAACCTCTCTATCTATTTTACTCACTGAAACTCAAACACAATTGCTTTTTCGTATTCTGATACTCTCTGACAGATCTGTCTCACATTTTTGGTGAACAATGAGTTGTCAGAGACAAGAAGAAGTTCTTCTCATAAACGCGCTTTTGTTCGTCTTTTTGATTTCTTCGGCGAGTTCTTTGAATAGAGACGTCGCCGTTTTGCTTCGAGTCAAGAACGGCCAACTCGATGATCCTGTCGGTAGACTCAGTGACTGGAACGAGTCAACTCACAATGCTCCATGCAGCTGGACAGGCATCACCTGTGATGCTCAGAGTCACCGTGTCGTGTCCATCGACCTCGTTAGCTTCGGCGTTTCCGGCAATTTTCCGGCGGATTTCTGTCGGATTTCGACGCTCGAAAGCCTCAACCTTTTCGATAACAATTTGATGGGTACAATCTCTGCAAACTCAGTCTCTCTTTGCCCTCATCTCCGATTCTTGAACCTCTCCGCCAACTTGTTCGTTGGCGGATTGCCGGAGTTCCATACAGAATTTGCCAACTTGAGCTCGCTCGATCTTTCAGCGAACAATTTTACTGGTGAAATCCCGACGAGTTTCGGCAACTTACCGAAACTTCAGGTGCTTTGCCTTGTGAATAACTTGCTCAATGGCTCAATACCTGAGTTCTTGACCAATTTGACAGAGTTTACTCGTCTTGAACTCGCGGTAAATCCATTCAAATCGAGTCCATTGCCTTCCACAATCGGACGCCTCACCAAGCTTCAAAATTTATATCTGGCGACCTCAAACCTCATCGGAGACATTCCTCACTCTGTCGGAGACCTAATTTCTCTCACAAATCTCGATCTTTCGAACAATATACTCACCGGCGAAATTCCGGCCAGTATTGCCGGTTTGAAAAATGTCGAACAAATCGAACTCTACCTGAACAGACTGTCAGGTGAATTGCCAGACACTTTTGCGACCTTAACTTCATTGCGTCGATTCGACGCTTCTCAGAACAATCTCACCGGGAAAATACCGGAGAGTCTCGCCGGTTTGCCTATCGAATCATTTCATCTCAATGACAACAGCCTCGAAGGAGAAATTCCAGAAATTTTATCTTCTAACCCTAAGCTTTACTCGCTGAAGTTGTTTAACAACAAATTTTCCGGTGCTTTACCGGTGAATTTAGGAAAAAATTCAGATTTGGAGGAATTTGATGTATCCGGAAACCAATTAGAAGGTTCGCTGCCTCCGGATCTGTGTTACAGACAGAAATTTCAACGTTTAATCACTTTCGATAATAGATTTTCTGGTCCGATTCCAGAGTCTTACGGCGAGTGCGGTTCTTTAACTTGCGTACGCATCTTCAACAACGAACTTTCTGGACAAGTACCAGTCAATTTCTGGAGTTTTTCCGGACTAGAATTAATTCAACTCTACAGCAACAGAATGGAAGGTTCGATTCCGGCTACAATTTCCAACGCTCGAAACCTAACTGAGTTACAGATCTCGGGCAATAACTTTTCCGGCGAGTTGCCGTCGGAGATATGCGGGTTGCAAGAACTCGCAATTATGGATATAAGTAAAAATCAATTTTCCGGCACACTGCCTTCGTGCATAACAAAATTGAAAAGGCTACAGAAGCTCGACCTTCAAGAGAACAGAATCACCGGTGAAATTCCAAAAGCTGTTAGTACATGGACTGAGCTTACTGAGTTGAATTTATCAAACAATCAATTCACCGGAGATATTCCGACTGAGCTTGGGAAATTGCCGGTGTTAACGTACTTGGATCTCGCCGGAAACTTACTTTCCGGCGATATTCCGGTTGAGTTGACGAAGTTGAAGCTCAACAAGTTCAACATCTCCAATAACAGACTTGAAGGCAAAGTGCCTCTTGGTTTCAACATTGATTTTTTCTTGCCAAGCTTAATGGGTAACCCGAAACTGTGTAGTCCAGATCTGAAACCACTCCCCACATGCCCGAGACCCAAACCCGTTGGCTTCTATGTGGTTTGGATTCTATCAGGCTTGGCCTTAATTCTTATAGGGTCACTTCTTTTGCTCGTGATCAAGACCAAAAACTTGTATGCATTTGGTCGTAGAAATAAACGTTCATGGAAGATTACCTCATTCCTAAGGGTCAGGTTCACTGAACAAGATGTACTAGCTTCATTGACAGATGATAACCTAATTGGAAGTGGAGGGTCGGGTAGGGTGTATCGAGTCAAGCTAAAGAGTGGGCAGACAGTGGCAGTGAAGAGGCTATGGGAAGCTAGCCGGCAATTGGAAACTGAGGGGGTTTTCCAGTCAGAGATGGAGACATTGGGAACAATCCGACATGCCAATATCATAAAATTGTTGTTCAGTTGCATTGGAGAGGACTTTAGGGTACTGGTATATGAGTACATGGCAAATGGAAGCTTAGGAGATGTGTTGCATGGAGAGAAGGGTGGTGTGTTGTTGGATTGGCCAAAGAGGTTCGAGATAGTTGTTGGGGCAGCACATGGGCTGGCCTATTTACACCATGACTGTGTGCCTGGGATTGTGCACCGGGATGTTAAGTCGAATAATATACTTTTGGATGAGGACTTCAGGCCAAAGGTGGCAGATTTTGGGCTAGCCAAGACGTTTCAGCAGGATGTGAAGGAGGGTGATGGAGTTATGTCGCGTGTTGCTGGTTCCTATGGCTACATCGCGCCAGGTGAGTTGTTAAGGCTTTGTCCATCTGTTGTTTATGCACATGCAGTGTTAGATTATTAATTCATTTAGGTATCATTTATAACGTATCATTCATCCGATGGCATAATATTCTAGTCTAGACTACGTTATGGATTGTTATGAATCTTACTAACTATGAAACCTGTGCGAAAACTCAAAGAAGCAGCAATGGAGACAAACTGAAACAAGACTCTCATTCATTCAACTCAAGTTCATAATGAAGGTTACAGAGATATATATAGAAGCCTAAGCCTTGGTTAGTTCTGAACTAAACTAACTAACTAATCTCCTAACAGAATCCTTACGACTGGATTAGTTACAACTCAGTTAAGTGCATACGTGAACTCTGTTAATCGGTGCTGTTGACATTTGCCCTCAGTTTGTGGCTGTAACAAAAAATTATAATTAGATCTAAACATATTGATCTATGGAGCATTGAATGTCTTTGTCACCTTGTAGTTGTTATAATGTTGATAAACTAAAGCTACATCAGGTCAGGCAAACTGCAATTGTCTAAAGGAGCAAAAGGAAACAACACAAATTAGAAAAGGTGATGAAAAAACAAATTTTAACCCATACCATACTTGGGCTATTTTGGTTTGATTGTTTTGAGTTTGTATTCGTTTGAATATTCTGAATTACTTTAGGAATTTAATTGGTTGTTTTTTCCTTAATGATTTCACATTTAAAGCCACTATTTGAGGGCATTTTCTGTTTTTATATTGTCATAGTGAAACTTAATCGACACCCCTGCGTAACTCTTTGATAGCCCTTCATGGTATTCCTTCCAATGGAGTTTGGGGTATAAATTTTCAGCGAAAAGGATGAGGAACGGGCGCGTAGTGGATATATGGAGAAAGTTATTATGTATAGAAGCTTTACAGTCTTATGTTTGGTGAAAAGGCATATAACAAAATGTTGATAGATATGGCATTATTAGGAACATGAAGAACAATAGTCAATGAATTTTGTGTCTAGAATGTTTGTGGCACTACTGTATGACTACTCTGAGCAAGTGAATTTTCAAGTTTGTGTGATGTAACTGATGCAAGATGAACTTTTCCTATATCGGTAAAGGGATGAAAAAGGAAAAATCTGTGTTATATGCAGTGATGGCTAACGTCCTAACATATCCACACTGTTGTAATGATTGCAGAGTATGCATACACATTAAAAGTTTCTGAGAAGAGTGATGTGTACAGCTTTGGTGTCGTGTTGTTGGAGCTAATTACGGGGAAGAGGCCAAATGATTCCTCCTTTGGGGAGAATAAGGATATTGTGAAGTGGTTGACCGAGGCTGCCTTGTTAGCTCCAGAACAAGGAAGCGGCATTAATGGCGGTAGTTCTATAGATATGAGTGTGCTGATAGACCCGAGGATGAAGGCATCCACATGCGATTACGATGAGATTGAGAAGGTTTTGAACGTGGCTCTTCTTTGCACTTCCGCAATTCCCCTCAACAGACCCTCCATGAGAAGAGTTGTCGAATTGCTGAAGAACCGTTCACTGGTTCAGTCAAAATGACATGGTTAGTCTGTGGAATAGTTTGGTAACATTTTAGAGTCTTCTACCCCTTTTTGTATGGATTCTGATTTTCGCATTACGGTAAGCTTATTAGGCTATGTCTGAAATTCGAGTTAAGCTCAAACACACTATACAAAGGCAGTCCAAATATAACAAAGCAACCTGAACAGCCAAACACTTGGCTTGTGGTATGTAGTCCCTTTTTTTATTAGTAAGGATGCTTGATTGTATTTTAGGTCTTCTAATGTTCATATTGCTGGTTTATAAGCTTGCAGCTCTCTACATTCATAGCAGAAGGAGTCTGAAAACTTTTGATGGCCACGAACGGTTCAATTCTCTTTGAACAGCAGGAGATTTCAGTCATAAATATGTTTAACATTAGAAGTATGACAATGCAAAAGACCCAATAGTGAAGCAATGTTCCAGAAACATTCCTTTAAATCACCCTGAACTCAAGAGGACATTGAGGGGTAGTGTTGGAGTGCGTGGAAACGTGCACAAAAATTAATTTGGGAATACCTAAGCTGTCAATTTTCGACACAATATGTTAATATGACACAAGTCAAACACGAACTCAACGAGTCAAACACGAAATTAAACGAGTTAATGAGTCAACACGCTTAAACACAAAAAAAATTTTGTCGGGTTCATGTCAAAATCAGTTCAACCTGATTTTGATTTGATTAACCCGTATATTTTAAATGGGTTGACATGATCAAGGCACGATTCGGACCTAATCCATTATAGACCTGTTTAACCTGTTTATGGCAATATAATTTGTCTATTATGTATGACTGATGTGATTTTAGCATTATTACTTATTCGTTCTTACTTCTACTGTAATAATTGATAATATAATTCTTAATATTATTATGATAATATACTAGTATAGTTCTTATTTTAATTTTTGGGTTGAAACTTAAATGCATTTTAGTTAATTTCATTGATGAGATGTGATAAGTTATTTATAAAAAAATTATTTGAAATTTTGGATGAATGATTGAATGATGTATTTAATGATAATGAACTAGTGTGAAAACAAGTTATGTGTGTTAAACAGGTTTGTGTTCTGTTTGTTAAACAAGTTAAATAGATCATGATATGTGTGTTAACCCAAAAATGACTTGTTTATTAAACGTGTAAAACAGGTCAAGTTCGAATAACCTGTTTAATAGTCAGGTCAGGTTAGTGTTTACGCATCTCGACACGATTATTAAACATGTCATGTTTGAATTTTGAAATTTTCGACACAAACTTGAAATCAACCCGACATAAAATGATCCAACCCAACACGTCAGACACCAATAGACATAGCTTTAGAGACAGCAATTAATGAATCAGAATCAATGATGTTACTTTTTGTGTCCTTCTAATGTATCATCAAACAATGAAACATGAATTAATAATTCACGACGGGTGTGATTTCGAGAAGCTAATGTGAGTTAAACCTGTATTTTTCACGATAGGTAGCGTATTTCTTGCCTATCTACCCTTCCCCATCAGTAGCTCACGACCTGGGAAGCAAAGGCTCACACGAGCAGTCTAACTTAGATGGGACAAGCGGTGAGTTCTAAATTTGTAGGTGTGATAGATATTTATCTACATAAGTATTTCCATGCGGGCTATGCGGGGGGGGGGGGGGATAGGTAGTGGATTTTTCCAATTTTTTTTTTTGCCTTGGTCTTCAGTGGAAGAATGGAGGAATTATATAGTGAGAATGATGACTATTTTTCTGTTGATGTTTTTGAGATATATACACCTTTTTAAAGAGTTTCAAAACCTAGAGAGGAGAGAGAGTGTGGTGGGTGTCAAGTGGTTATGATCAAACTCCTTCAACCAACCTACACCTTATGGAATCATATCTATTAGAGAATATAATAGGATCTAAATCGATTTATCATAATCGATGTATTAGAGATATGATAAGATTCATTGAAATCTATCAATTTCTATTGAATTCAGAATGATGATAAGCATATGTAATATATCTTTTATCTCATAAAAAATTACCCTATAAATAGAAATAATGTTCTCATAATCAATCACCACGGAATAAACATCAATGTAGCCCTTTACGGTGCTTGGTCTATAGGTGTAGACACAATTTGTCAAATCACATATTTTTTTGTGTCTTGTTGTCCTTCTCTGTTCTATCTCATTCTCTCTTGTATTCTAAATTTCTTCAATGTCCACCCATGGGAAACCTGACCCGACTCCATATCCGAAAATTCTACAGGTAAATTTGTGACCCTTTATCTTGCCAGTCCCTTTATGTCTGAAGAAGCTTTGATGTTGAGAAAACTAGGAAGATATTCACCTTGAAAGCCTAACTGGAGCCTAAAACAATAGTACATTATATAGTGTTGCCAAGGCCTAAGCATTTATCTATTGTTGCCAAGGCCTAAACATTGAAATTCTTCTTTAGAAACAAACACAACTTAAAGTCTTCCTTTGCACAATTTAAGTAAGTCTATAATCTCAGAACCTTGCATGCTATGAAGGAATGGAGTGTCTGGGAAATTGACTTAGTGCAAGTTGCCAAGCAGTGATTCTGGTGACCAAGCCGGATTTTAATTTCGGTTGACATTCTGGAGGGGGTACCAAGTGGATGCGTCGATCTTGTCTTCGTGTCCAGACAGCATATATTCCTTCTTGATCAGCTGAATAATGCAGATGAGAAACAGAAACAGAAGATACTCATGGGGGCTAATTCATGTGATGCTCTAAATCTTATCCGCATGATCTGTGGCTATATATAGTGACTCTAAAACCAAGCACTTAAATCCCAAGGAGCCCCAGACTCAATAGGAAGAGAGGTCTTACATGAATAGAGAAGAGTCTTGCTTGATGGCAAGCTTTTCTCTCTCATGCAAGGCCTTCTCTTCTTAGACAAAAAGTGGGACTCGACCTTGGTGTCATCATGTCAAAGTTATGCATGGTGCATGAGCAAATTGTGCCATAGCATTCACATTCCATTGCAAAGGAATTATGTATTCAGGGAGGGATGCCTAAAATGAAAGTGAGAGTCTAGTTTGGTAGCCAAGGATGACTTGCCCTCTATCTTCCAAAGGGGTCTCAAGTACGAAATATGTGTGTTATTCTTTTGGAACCCTTGGGTTGTTTGTGGGCAGTCATCCTAGCTAAACTGACAGACTCTTCTCTCTCATTCTAGGCCTTCTCTTTCTTCATCGGCAACTCCAGGTTAAAATGTGCAACGCTTTCAGTGATTATTATCACTTAGCCACTTGTTTTTTTTTTTTTACTTGCAAGCACTTTTTCCCTGATTGGTCTCTGAACATCAACTCAAACAAAATGCCCTCAAAATTTATAGTTAAAATACGCCCTCCGTTGATGGTTGAGAAGTTACTATCGATCTTACGTTTGACTTTTTGATTAATTCTAAATAAACTTCAACCTACAACCCAAATTAACCGATCTTTTTATCTTCTTTTTGTCGCGCCACTTTTCTTCTTCCCCCATCCCACCCTACCTCACCCATGCCTCCCCAAAACCACCTCCAACGATTGCAACCCTTGTCCCCCGAACACCAATCCATATCCCACCTCAGTTGAACATCTCCAACCAAACTCTCGTTTGTGTTGTCTCACTTCCATTGGTGATGAGAAGGTCCTGAGCCATATAAAAGAGCGGGTAGGTGAGCCTTTTGGGTTAGAAACCCATGCCCAACAAACTCTCGTGTTTGTTCATCATTTGTCTCATCCATTCTATTACTAAAATAAATTACATCCTAATTGAATTCACTACAGATAATCTAATCCAAAACCCCACCATCCTCACACACAAAAGTCATATACTCTTATCTTCTCTTTTCTCTATTTGCACTCCGAGTAAGGGGGTGGCGGAGCACTCTCTCTTCACTCTCTATGATCTTATTTGATCGTGGTGTTGCTCATGATGACTTTGTTCATTGTGGGACTGGTTCCATTGATTGGGGGATTTAGATTCAGTAGGAGAAAAGTTATAGGAATCAGGGTGTGGGCGGAGGGAGAAAATCTATTAGCATGATTTTTTTTTTAAAAAAATATTGTTGACATTGATATAATCTAGCTAGTATGGAGTGATTAACTATTAGTTAATCTTAAAACTCGAGATAATTGCAAATTCTCAAATTTCAAGGGTTAGAGTATAGTAAGTATAAACCTTGATCAACTTTATGTCATTAAACCTACCAGTTTTTATTTATTTTAGGAAAAAAAGCCAAGCTACCATTTATGTCTAAATGAAAAAAAAAAAAAAAAATTATTAAACATCATAACATGTCGTAGGATTTCATTGGAGATTGGGGAGGACATTAGGCCCACTAATAAGTGCTTGGAGTTAAAGCTAAGGTGAATGAGGTGAGTCACTCACTTTCATCTTGAATAGCCTAAGGTACTAGTGGGCCTCAAAAATGAAAACGCATCTATGTTTATTGGAAATTAACTAGCTAGCTACCAAAAGATCTGCATCCAACTTGGGTGAGATCAATGTTTTCAGAAAGAATTCTGATGAAGATATTCTACCTTATATTACCTCAATAATTACATCGTTGTCTAAGTTATAAATTAACAATACAGTATACATGTTTTTTGTCCATACATAAGAGATCAAATGCAAATAATCTTTTTTTTTTTTTTTAAAATAATTTTCGAGATCATTTTATGAATTATGTCTTCGTATAAATACTATGGCATTGATCATTGAAACTATGGAAAAATAAACATTGTCACATCTTGATTTCTTGCTCAATAACCCTTTTTCCACAAGAAAAAAAAAAGGGTAATATATTATTTCTATCCATCGAATCTACATATCAATTCGGTATAAATTTTTTAATCAAATTTGAATAGACCTAGAGCTGACCCAAATCTAATCTATTGACAGGGCTATCAATTACAGAATTAAAATCTAATTCTGTAATTCGTGTAAATAACTAAATGTTTAAATGGGTCGTAACATGTCAAGGTTTGGTTAGCCAACAGGGAATCTTCATTAATAAGATTATACCACGGTCAACTAACCACGGTTAACACCCCTCCGCTTACAGTTTTCAGATCCCATCATTCCCTCCTCCTATATATATAAACCAAAGCCACAGAGCACATTGTGAACTGCAACAAGGTCAGACAGGCGTCTTAATACACGCCTACGAATTCCTTCTCTCTCTCTCTCTCTCTATTTTTCTTCATTTCTCTACGTTTCTAGTGATCCTTTCTTTGAGCTTTGCTCAGTTTTTGTGTTGATTAGCGAAAATGAGAGAGTGCATTTCGGTTCATATTGGTCAGGCCGGAATTCAGGTGGGCAATGCCTGCTGGGAACTTTATTGCCTCGAGCATGGCATTCAGGTATGTTTTTTTCTCTTCGTATCTTCGTTGATCACTGAATTCAGATCATCCATTTGCTGAATATATATTGCTTATACATCTATCTTGTTTGGATTTGATCGGATCTAAAATTTTGATACCTTAATTCTGATGAATTTGTGGCTCATTTTTTCTAGCAATTTTTATGTTAATGTTGTACCTCACTTGTATGGATTGATTGATTCTTTTTAAGAACAGTTCTTATAAAAAAATCGGTCTCCCTTAAGATAGATTTATCATGCCTTAGATCTGAGAATCAATCTTTCTATTTATGCTTCCTTTTATCGATGGTCCGTCAAGATTTAGATTTATAATGCACACTAACCTACGGCATGATCATCTACATCGACCAAATGAGGATAAGAGGACGCATAAATAGAGATCCATTACTCTCAGATCTATGGTATTATCATCTATATGCATCAAATCTATCTTCAATGAAACCAAATTTTTTAAGTGATCGATCATTTATCAATGTGCTCGGATTATTTCTTCCAATCTTTTTATACAAATTTAGTATTTTTTTTATTTTAATTTTCGGTAACATTTTACAACAAATCTGTAGGTTTCGTACGGACTTTATGTTGATTTGGTGAAATGCGATTTAATAGTGCCTTGCAATTTCTATTTCCTGCATTTTCTCCAAAATAAACTACCTAATGTTTATGAATCACGCACATTCTTTGGACACGTATAATAGGACTATCTATTTTTAACTCAACACGTTAATACGATATGAGCCAACGAATACAAAATTAATGGGTTGGACAGAAATTAAACGAGTTAATGGATTAAAACATGTCAATACACTTAAACATGAAAACAATCATGTCAAAATTAGGTTGTCTTATTTTGACCTGATTAACCCGTTTATTTCAAACGAGTTGACATGATTTGGACACGAACCATACTCAATCCATTGTAGACCCGTTTATGACAGTATAGTTTGCCTATTATGTATGACTGATGTGGTCTTAACATTATTACTTATTAGTTCTTTTTTAATTGTTGGGTTGAAACTTGAATACATTTTAGTTAATTTTATTGATGAGATGAAATATGTTATTTGTAAAAAAATTATTTGAAAATTTAAATGAATGATTGAATGATGTATTTAATGGCAATGAACAGGTGTGGAAAGAAGTTATGTTGTTAAACAGGTTTGTGTTATGTGTTCTAAACAGGTCAAAATAACATGTGTTCTAACCTGAAAACGACTTGTTTATTAAACATGTCAAACAGATCAGGTTCGGATAACCCGTTTAATATCTAGGTCGACAAAATTATTAAACACGTGAGATTTTTGACACAAACTCGAAATCAATCCGACGTGAAATGACCCACCCTAATATAGTGTCCAATAAGATAACGAACACGTGTCAAACACCGACATTCTTTAAAAATTCTTAAACACATGTTCGATACTCTTTTATCATGACTATAATTAAATAATAAAAATTTAATTTTCAACACGTGTTCAACACTTCTTTGGTAATGTCTCTGTATAAAAAACTTACTATTAAATAATAAACATATGTTATCTAGTGATTAACAAAACTCAAAAAAATTGACAGAGTCTTATGTTATTATAGAACATATTATTGCCAAGAATAGAGATATTAAAGTTGTACTTAAAATATAATAATAAAAGTAGAAGCATAAAAGTTTTAAAAAAGATAAATCAATACCAATTATTTAAATTCTACATGTGGGGTACACATTGTCTAAAAATAATTGATGATTATTAACTTGGGAGACTTACATTCAAATATTTTGAGGTTTGTCACTTAATCATTCAGAACCATTTTTATTTAAAATATTACACACAGACCCTCTTACATTTGCATGCGTGTAATACTTAAACCCCTATTGTTAATGACCATTAGGATATTCATTAATAAATTATACCCAGACTCCTTAAAGTTTGTAGGCGTATAATATATTTAACTCTTCAAGTTTAAAATATTATACTTAGACAAAAAATACTGTAATAAAAAAAAATATATCAAATATTTTAAATTTTACAATAAAAATTTATTTTATATTATGACATTTATTAAAATAAAATCAAAAATAAAAATCTAATTTTTTTTAAAAAAAATTATAATTATTATATAATTATACTATTTATTGAAATTTAATTTGATCGTTTAAACGATCAAATTAAACTACCAAATTATCCCAATTAAAGTTAAAAAATATTTTGTCTATTACAGTTTGACCCCTTATTTATTTTTTAGTTTTATTACAATAAATATTTGGTTGTTTAAATGATCAAATTAAACTACCAAATTACCCTAATTAAAACTAGAAGATATTGTGTCTATTACAGTTTGACCCCTTATTTGATTTTTTTGTTTTATTCTAATAGATGGTATAATCGTATACTAATTATGATTTTTTAATAAAAAATTAGATTTTGATTTTATTTTAATAAATGTCATAATAGAACATAAATTTTGGTTATAAAAATGAAAATATTTGATATTCTATCTTTAATTGAAGTATTTTTTATCTAAGTATAACATTTTAAACTTAAAGGGTCTAAGTATTACACACCTATAATTTCAGGTGGTCTGAGTATAATTTACTAACAGATATCGATGGTAGAGATCTAAGTGTTATGCACGTACAAACCTTAAAGAGTTTGTGTGTAATATTTCAAATATTAGGGAGTCTAATTATAATTCTCCCTATTACCTATTATGATTCTTTAGTCTAAAAAATCACACTAGATGACTAGACACAACAATGACTTCTCATAAAATAATCATTTCTTATAAATAATATATCACTATCACTAATTTTATGATAAATTACATAACTTTACATATAAAATATAATTATTTATAGCATATTTTTAATGTTCTATTTTTTTAAAAATGTCGTATCTACTTGTACCTATATGTGTTCGTGTCTATGCTTGTGCTTGTTAGCCTAATCTAATTGTTTCGAAGAGTAATGCCTAGTATAAGTGTGAAGAGGAAACTTTTTGGTTGAAAATTTATATTTTAATATCTTATTTTGGACACAGTTTGCAGGCTTTGTGACTTGTGGGGGATTTTTCAAAATTGAGGCAAATTTGCAGAATGGATTGTTTTATCCTGTTCATATATGTTGTGGTTAGACACATTACTTCATTTTTTGTAATATTTCCAAATGTATACACTTTTTATTTTTGAAGTTTCCATCTTTTCTCTTGTTTCAGTTTATTGCAACAATATCTGCAACATGATCCTAAACATGTATTTGTTAGACAAGGAATAATTCCAACCATGGATTTCACTTTTCATTTTTCATTTCAATTCAGAATTTTTTAAACAATTTCCTTTTTGCTTCACCTGATATTTTGCATCTTGACAGCCTGATGGGCAGATGCCGAGTGATAAGACCGTCGGAGGAGGGGATGATGCTTTCAACACCTTTTTCAGTGAAACTCGTGCTGGAAAGCATGTTCCTCGTGCAGTTTTTGTAGATCTTGAGCCCACTGTCATTGATGAAGTGAGGACCGGAACATATCGTCAACTTTTTCACCCTGAACAGCTCATCAGCGGCAAAGAAGATGCAGCTAACAACTTTGCCCGTGGCCACTACACCAGTAAATATTTTTCGCCTTTTTTGGTCCTTTTTATTCTTCAATCAGGTTAACTAACTGCCTCAAACTACATTCATCTTGTCAGTTGGAAAAGAGATCGTTGAGCTTTGTTTGGATCGTATCCGAAAGCTTGCCGACAACTGCACTGGTCTCCAGGGTTTCCTTGTCTTTAATGCTGTGGGTGGAGGCACTGGTTCTGGTCTTGGTTCGCTTCTGCTGGAACGCTTGTCAGTAGACTATGGCAAGAAATCTAAGCTTGGTTTCACAGTCTATCCCTCACCACAAGTTTCAACCTCAGTTGTGGAGCCCTACAACAGTGTCCTTTCTACCCACTCCCTTCTGGAACACACTGATGTTGCTGTGTTGCTTGATAATGAAGCCATCTATGATATTTGCAGGCGCTCCCTTGATATTGAGCGCCCTACCTACACCAACCTCAATCGTTTGGTCTCTCAGGTATTGTGCATTTTTGCTTTTATATTCAACTTGATCCTTTTTACCTGTTCAACTTGGTCATTACTTCCTTGTAATATATGTTTCAGGTCATTTCATCCCTTACTGCTTCTTTAAGGTTTGATGGAGCCTTGAACGTGGATGTGACTGAGTTCCAAACTAACCTGGTCCCGTACCCCAGGATCCATTTCATGCTTTCATCTTATGCTCCTGTCATCTCAGCTGAGAAGGCCTACCATGAACAGCTCTCTGTTGCAGAAATCACCAACAGCGCATTTGAGCCCTCATCTATGATGGCCAAGTGTGACCCCCGCCATGGCAAGTACATGGCTTGCTGCCTGATGTACAGGGGTGACGTGGTCCCTAAGGATGTCAATGCGGCTGTGGCCACCATCAAAACCAAGCGTACCATCCAATTTGTCGATTGGTGCCCTACTGGTTTCAAGTGCGGTATCAACTATCAGCCCCCAACTGTTGTTCCTGGTGGTGATCTTGCCATGGTGCAGAGGGCAGTTTGCATGATCTCGAACTCCACCAGCGTTGCAGAGGTGTTCTCTCGCATTGACCACAAGTTTGATCTCATGTATGCCAAGAGGGCATTTGTGCACTGGTATGTTGGTGAGGGCATGGAGGAAGGTGAGTTCTCTGAAGCTCGTGAGGATCTTGCTGCCCTTGAGAAAGATTATGAGGAGGTGGGTGCTGAGTCGGCTGAGGGTGAGGATGGTGACGAGGGAGGCGAGTACTGAGGGGAGAATGTTTGTTCTTGGCTAGCCAGTTTCCTATCTTTTCATCGCCTATGTCATGTGGTCTCATTACTATGCCGCATTTTACTTGTTTGGAGCTGCGCAGGTTCTGTCTGCATTGATACAATATTATTGTACCCGTCTTGGATAATATGACTGTGAATTTATATCAGAAATTAAATGTTGTTTTTTGCAATAGAAATTAATTATCGTACAAGTTTCGTGTGTTTTCACAAAGTTTATGCTCCATCATGAGCATTGACCCTGGGACCTCGGTTATAGGTCTGCAGGGACTCAAATCGAACCGGAGTATGATTCCCCAGTCTGATTAGAGGAAAACATCCTACTTTGGCGTGGCATACTCTTACCATCGGACTGAAATCTATAAAATGGTTCTATTGTCTGTAACAAGTAATGTTTTGCTTACCAAATGTTCATATCAAACAAATGATATGGAACACTCATTACAATCAACAAATGAATTCTATTAATATTTCAATGACAATAATTGTGACTTCTATTAGTATTTCAATGACGGTAATTATATTATAACCATAACTATATACAAATTTGTATGATCTGGCATACAAATTTAATAACCATAACTTTTCATTCCGACGAATAAGAAATGCTCATCTTCTCACATGTTCTATGGTATGGGAATTTGTTTCACATGGACTAAATAAGAGTGCGAAGTACAATTAACAAAATTATACAATTTTATTCTCCTGTCGACAATTGCTCAAATGCATATATTTGGATGCGTGTAGAATGAGTGAATTCTACTGAAAAAATTGATAGAAACTCACTCATTTAATAAAATTATAACTTTTTGAATTTCATTTGAATTTTATAGCATTGCTCTTCGAATAAATATAAAAAATCTAAAAAAAAAAAAAATGTTGCAACAGACCTGACCAGTGTACAACTGCATCAAGAACAAGGGAGAGAGAAAGCGGCTGGGAAGAAAAAGATATTCCTTACACGTTCCCCTGGGGGGACTGAAGTGAAGACACTCGAACTAGGTCTCTAATGGCTCAGACCCACTATGCTTTCTCTAGAAAGAGAAAGCAATGTAGGCTATGTAGCTAATCTGTTGGTCTTCTTACATTGGGTATTTTTCTTGAATAGGGGAAAGAGATTGAAAAGTTTTGAAGGGAGATGCACAAAGAAGACGACGCAAATAAGTACAGTGCAAGGCATGGACAAGAATAAGGATCACGAATTTGATTCATATACATATGAAGAAGATAACCCAACAAGAGATCTCTTGGTAATGGAATCTCTCTTGATCCACATTGTGCATCTCTCTTATATTTTTCTTTTTTCCTTTCTCTGCTAAACCCTGGTCCCTTCCAAAAACCAACGCATAATAAAATTCTCTCTCTCTCTCTCTCTCTCTGTTTCTTGTATGTTGGATGTGTTTCTTCTGTATTTCTTGATCATTAACAATAGGCAAATCCCATTTTACCTCCTTTTGGTTTGGGGGTGTTGCGCTTTAGCCCTTTATAGTTTATAGTGCATTTTCTCTCTCTTTCTCTTTTAGATCGTTAGGTTAGTGCATTTTAGGAGGAGTGGAGAAAAGTTGTCGCACACTTCACACTTGCAGTACCAGTGCTTTGGGTTAATTCTACGATCATCTTGCCAGATGGCACATGGTGTCCAGACTCCATAGGGTAATTACACAAGCTGCAAGTCTGTGCTCTTGCGACAAAGACACCCACAAGCAATCTATGTCCATTTCTCTCCGCAGCTGGGTTAAATGTGTGCAATTTCTGATTCTACTGTTTGTTAGAGCTTCCATTTTGTTATTTATAGCCTGAATTTTTATTTTGATTGTGTTGGATTTTCTTTTTTGATTACAGGCCTTATTTTCCAAACATATCGAAGAAGACGGCAACAGTGAGGGTATCAGGGTAATTTAATCATTCTATTAATGGTGTTAATTGTGCGAGCTCATCCAACAATACATGCGATGCGAGTCATGTGATTAAACTTTGCCCTTAACAATAACAATAGAACCCCAAAATATTAGAGGAAGAATAGAGGATATTCACATTGAATGGATCTAAGTTGTTAGGTATTACACGAATGGAAGATCTGATATAAAAATAAAAAGAGTAAAAGTATTTTAATATATTATTAACCGTTATAAACTTAAAACTTAAAAGTAAGTATGAATTTTAAATGTGTATTTGGGCATTAAATTTTAGGAAAATACTGTATAATTTAAATTTGTATGATATATAGCATTGCTCTAAATTTTATCCGAATCCTGTATAATTTAAATACTGTATATTGTCTCCCTCCTTGTTTACGTGCCTTTGTGGCTCTTTTATTTGGGCATCTATTAAGAATGTCGAATAAACTGCTGCTGATAGACCTCCATACATATGCTTATACATGCATATATATGCACATATATGCATTGATTTGTGTGTGTGCGTCTGTGTCTCCTTGGTTGAACAAATGATTTAGCATGGTGCACTGCTTCATTTTTCCTTGCAAAGCAATTACAACTATTGATAATTTAGTATTGTACAATTGTTTGAAATTTCCATATAGGCACTTGGTTGATGTTGGAACTGTGTCTCAAGAATCATGGTTCTGATCATCCCTTTTTGTTCTTCTAATGAATTAGAGGATATTTCTTCTAAGAGTACAGTTAGATAGGATAGCTTGTTGTTTTCGCGACTCGAAGGATTGACTTGAATCAAAAGAATCATCTAGCTCATGTTGGCATGTAGCCTTCATAGTTGAACATGTTTAGAACTCTTCTCAATCAACAAAGTAAAGCTCCTCGAATTTTTACACCAGCAACAACCAAATTTTCTGGGCTGCAATTCAGCAAGTAATGCTACCAATTTTTCAGAAAGTATCTAAATTTTACAAGTTACACTAGAGAACACCAAAAACTTGACTCATTGCCAAAATATACATACGTTTTGTGTAGTACGGTTGACTATAAACATTCAAGGCTTCATACTGCGAATGGTGTTTGGTAAATCCTCCTCAAATTATTACCAGAAAATCAACACAGTAGATTTTGTTTCATCATTCCCTTTTTATCTTATGCTAAAGGTCCTCTTTTTCCTTTGCCTCCTGCTGCTGATTTTTTATTTTCTGCTACTAATTATGAATGTTTCGACGAAATCTTCCTTGTCAATGAAGGACCCAATATACCATGACATTAGAAACTACCACCAAAATCTCCTTCATGATTCTAGACCACTTAGATCCAGTCATGAATGTGAAGATATGAATAGGGCCAAGTGATGACTATGTAATCTAAATCAAATGGAAATAGATCTTAAACTAGAAACTTTGAATGTGTGTCTGCATCTGTGTGTGTGTATGAATGTGTGCCCAATATTTCTGAGCAGGAAATTGGTAGAGAGGTGGTGACAAATTATGAGTAAATAAGATGCAAGGACCATGAGTGCCCAATCTGCTTCAATGATTTCCCATCAGCCCAAGCTTATGGTGGTCGCAAGGAGGCTCATTCTAACAATGGATTCTCTGGAAGCAGAGGCAAAGCGACCACGGTAATAAACCAAGAGCTTCTTGATATTTATTACATTGTGAATCTTAATCTCTCAATAACTCTAGAGGAAGAGGCTAAGAGCGATAATGGGTTCAAGCCATGGTAGGTTGAAACAATTGCAACCAATCTGCACTGGTGATCTCTAATTGAGAAACAGATACCATCCACTGTTTTCATGAAGTTACAAAAGAATGTATATGCAGTAGTTGATTGAATTCAGTACTGTTTTTCTTCAAGCAGTGAAAATTTTCCCTCTTCAAGTATTAGATTTGAGTAAGTGATACTCTTATTCCAGCTAGTTTTCTTCTATTCACTGTATTGTGCACTATTCTTCTTGATATTTGTACTAATTGTTGGGCTTTTAGTTAAGTGATATGATATTTGACAAAGTATGACAATACTTACTATAACATGTATTTCATTTTATGTTAAACAATGGGATGTATTGGTATGTTTAATAACTTTGTGATGGTGAATTTTGATTTGTCTCTTGTTTGATGAGTTTATGGATGCATTGGGATAATGGATTTTAATTTTTTTTACTGGGGCAATAAAATAAAGCTTCTAAATATGACATAAATTGAAGTGCTTACCAAACATGTTTTCTATTTTAGTTTTCATACTTTCTTAAACAGAAATAGCAACCAAACAAGTTTTTTTTTTAACTTTTTACAATAGAAAAAATAAAAACTATTTCTGTTTTCATTTTTTAAAAAAAATAAAAAATTGACAACGTTACCAAATTCAACCTTACTTTTGTCTTTGATGGTTATGTGGCAAAGTATGATTTTTATTTGTTAATGTGTTATCTGGATATGGCGCCAAACAAATAAACATTTTTCCTAAGTAGTTTTATTCGTATGTTTTGTAGTGCTCTTCTTGGAATAATGCAAGTAGTATTTTCCTTTGTTTCACAAGAGACTGGCAACATTTCAAGTGGTAAATGCTCTTTTTGTTCTAGTGATTTTGTTGTTGAAATAATTTCTATGGCCTATAATTTTATCTCACTGCTATTTTGAGAAGAGGACATTGCACTAGTTAAAAATCACCTTGTATTTCTTGAATGAGATGGCTTGAACCATGTGCAAAACAAGGAAGAACAGGACCACACTAGTGCCTGAAAGAATACCAATATAGGTAGCTCTTGACATGACAATGTGTCTTCCTTGAAACAGCAGGTTCAACCAGTTTCTAGGCGATACACAATCCAACCAGCTGTGGGGCAATCCCTATTGATCCCAAGTCATTGCATTCCTAGCATGCCAGCCTCACCGGTCATTCTAAGCAAACGGCAGCAATCAGAGCATCAGCAGCCAAATCCCACAGCCTGTTGGCTGGTCCAACAGCCTGGTTACCAATTTATTTGGAGCTAATGCACCTACTTTGTATCAGCCATTTACTCCCATAGAAACCACTGATGTAACCTCACAAGGTCCTGGCATTATCAATCGAGGAGTTTCAGCAACAAACCAACCTAAGACTCCAGGATTTTGTTGCCATGTTGGTAACCCATGTCCAGGCTTTCTAGGTAAACTTGTCATCGACAGGTTTGATGGCTTTTGTTTACTATGTTTGCGATGAATTGGTTTGGTGCGATTGTGGCAAATCCCCTTGAATATTCCCTGCTTCATTTGAAACATCTGCAATATTTTTCGGCTAATTATTTGTCATAAACATTGTCACAAGATCCTAAGAATTTTTCTACAAGGTCATGTCACTAGAACTATGAATTTTTATGTGTCAAAATTGTTGAGCAATATCTTTCTTTCTCACGTACTAATGGTTTTTTGAAGTATAATTTTGTCTGTTAGTAATTGTTTGTCAATGTGAATAACTTTAATTGGAGTTTTTCTTGTTAGCAGGTCCTTACACTCACTGGAACAAGTGTGGCCACATTTCTTCACCACCACAAATGCTTTCTTGCTCGGAAGCATCTGCACCATCCTTTCAGAGAGGTGTAATTCGGCCACCCAACGGACTTTCTCAGCAGCTCTATCAGCTTTGGGAAGCACAAGTAAGAAAAATATTTCCTAGTCTTTTCTGCTTTGCATATTTTGATTAGACGTATGTTAAACATTTTATTTTATCATGGTGTTGGGCAGTTTGCAGAGAATGTTGCTTTATGGGTAGCAACTGGTCGTTTGCAAGCTGAATTAGCTGATTACAGGAGCCGTTTTACAAAGCTGGAGGCAGACGTTTTGTCTCTCAAGCCCACAGTGGATGAGCCTGTTGCTCAGAGTATTGGGGATTCTTTAGTTGGAGCACAGATATCAAAGAGAAAGAGAACAAAGAGCCCAATTAGTACAGAAAATGCCTTACCTTTGCTTGACAAATCTCCGACACGAGGCCATGGTCCAAAGCTTCCACCGTTTGATGCACAATGCAAGACTAAAGAACTCAATAATCAGAAAGTAAGCCCAAAGAAGGTGGAAGGTAAAGCTACTATTCAGCAGACAAATGATGGAAAGCGTTACGATACCCTTCCATCGTATACTGGCAGTGCTGACTTCACTGGTGACAGCCCATCATTTCACACTCCTGTTTTCCCAATTCCGCCCCATCATGTTAAGGGGAATGATACCAAGAGTGCTGCTTCCACTTCTATGGGAACGAGAATGACCAGTGATGGTAACTTGGTGTGGCCTTCAAAAATCCCCACTGAAGATGCCGGGAGAGATTTAACAGACGTTAGTGTCCAGTGCTTGTACAGTGATACAAATGTTGTTGGACAAGGATCAAAGATTGTTTTTGGTCGGAGGTTTAGCAATAAAGCGGATACTTCTCAAGGTCACGGCAGTGAAATCAGGAAGAGATCAAGATGCTGAACATACTATATGAACCAAAAGTTGAGGGTTCCTAAGACGTGGATGCTCTGTGGTGTAGTCAGCCCAAAGTTTCGCATCAGCTGAACTGGTAGTGATACAACTAACAGCTTCTATAGTTTTTTTTTTTTTTTTTCTTTTTTGGCATTTGCTTGATTGACGATATGTTTAAGAGTTTTAGTTTAGTCGATAATGTCTATTCCAGCTCACATTGGCCGACTCCTTCTCTAATGCAGAGGAAAAAAGTCTAGCAAAATTTTGTAGACAAGCATGAATTTTCTCTTTCCTGTTGTAACAAAGATCACCAATACAAATGCTAAGATTCAAATACTTGATTTCAGCTTATCTCATATTTCTTTCACTTAGAGAGAAGGGTACTCGTGATTTGAGTTGAAAATCTTGCAATCAGAGACAGATCAACAGAAATGAAAGGTTGGTATCTGTTGTGCTTTACCTTAATAATACTTGGTGTTGGAACATAGAACCCCACAACAAAATTGGTGTGCAAGCTTCAGCTTATGAATTCCAACAACATGTACATTAAATTCACATAAAACTTCACAATCCTGTGTACGAGTATATAGAAGATAAGTGGTTGAGGATCCTCTGCTGTTAATTTTTGGACAGTAGAGGTGTATGTTATTGATTAAAATCAAAACTACGCCCATTTGATCAACAGCAAACAACCACTTGGACTCTCCTTTGAATATCTGTTACCCCTCGTAACAAGATTGTGATTTATTTCTCAGATAAGATGCAGAAAAGTTGTTGCTGTATCACACTCCTATCTGAGTAGCACTCTCTTGTCTGTTAGTCCTTACTTAAGGATGGATTTGGTCATCAGTGGCTTTGCTTTGTTGTTAATCAAAACGATAATATGTACAAACCTTTCCGTTCAAACAAATAACTACACAAAACTAGGAAGTTGTTGTGTTTTTTCTATCCAAGAGAGAGCATGCCAAAATCTAAACAAAATTAATTGCCACTTGGAGAATCATATCAGGGGATTTGGCAGGATCATAAGTTAATTATGAATTATTGATTAATAAAAATAATAAAATATCAAAAAAAAATTAGAGATACAATGGACCTATTTAGAACTGACTTTTTTAAGTAAAAAACTACGGTTTACAAAGTTTCACAAAAAAGTCAAAATTAAAAAAGTCTCTCAAAACTGTTTGGAGTGTTCTTTAAAAAACTGAAATAGTTAATTTGGAGTGATTTTCTATTTTTTTGGTTTTTTGTGTTAAAATAAAAAAAAATAATTATATGTATGTATAAATCATGCATAATAGTTCTCAAAATATGAATTTCATATTTCTTACGTCATTAATAATATTTTATAAATATAATAAATTAAAAATTTATGCGAGATTCACGACAAAACTCTACAAAATTAGAAAAAAAAAATGTCATAAAATCAACTCTTTGAATCAATCTAAATAAATTTTTTTGCATCCAAAATTTTCTTGCATAAACTAGTAAAAGAGCCAAAGTTTATTTACGGACTTAACTTATTTTATTCCAAAGTTTTTAAAAATTATTTATTTATGTACCCAATAAAAATTAAACAAAAATGTTTTTGTGAAGGTACCTCTAAGAAAAGACTAATATATACAAGCTGATATATGTAATGCGTCACGACTCACACGTCCTTATGCAAAGAGTAATGCCATATGGAGGGGGAGGAATGAGGAGGTTTTTATAGAGCCCAACACCCAGAATTCTCGAAGCCTCGAACTTTGTCCTAAAAGCATGTGCCTAAATAAAAATTTATAGTATAAAATAAAATAAATTTTAATAAATTGATCTAATAATTTCAAATTATTCAAAATTATTTTTATATTATATTGTATCTTCCAGTACCAATTTTCCTTATAAAAAGATAACTAAGCAGTGGTGGCAGGCAACGTGAGTACTATCACAGCGTGATTGGACAATGAAAATAACAACGTGAGAAGTCATGTTTTCCGGATCAATTTAGAATTTTATGGAGAGGTCTTGTCCACAGATTATGAGGAGGAATTAAAAACCAATCATCTATATTTTCTCTAATATTTTTTTCTTTCAATATTTTATTTGGCTGAGAAAATAGCAATCCCGAGTTCCCGTGTAATTTTTTTGGGTTAGTTAATTTTTGTTGAAGAATGTAAATATCAATTTCTTACGTTTCATTTTAGTATTTTTATTATGCATTTATCGAGTATCTCTTCAATCTCGTGTCGTATGATACATTTTTTTGAAGATTATAATAATTAGTTATTTATTTTAATAGTGACGTATTTATTTATATATATAAAATATTACTTGATTGTGATTATTGTTTAATTCATATAATCCCATTCATTTTGGTAACAAATCCCCAATTTTGATAACGACTACTTTACGGAACAAAATTACTCGAAGAGCCTCTCTCTCTCTCTCCCCTCTCTCTCTCTCTCTCTCTGTTCTAAATCAAACTAATGAAGTAATGAGTGACGACTTCTTCTTTCCAATCCGTATTGAAGGATTAGACTTTTCCCCGTCAAACACGCTCTTGATATGTAAACCTCCACCCAGATCCCCCACATATCTCGATTTCCTCCTATCTCCTCTCTGACTCTCTCTTTCTCTCCACATACACTTACAAGCTACATGACTCTTCAGGTGTTCTTGATCAATCCCGAATGGCAACAACAATCATAGAACCAACCCGTCCAATCGCCATCACCAATCCAAACCCAAGACAACGAGTCTGCTTCTCATTCGCAGCCTACGCCAAGAACCTCATTGACCATCTCAAGAACTCCGACGTATTCATCGAACAAGGCCTCAACGACGCTGAATTCTCCACCATCGAATCCACCTTCCACTTCACATTCCCTCCTGATCTCCGCTCTATTCTCCAAGAAGGCCTTCCTATTGGCCCTGGCTTCCCCAATTGGCGAGCCTCTTCGACCCAACAACTCGAAATCCTCATAAACCTACCGATTCTGGGTCTGTGCAGAGAAGTCTCGAGAAATAATTTTTGGCTAGAATCTTGGGGTGAGAGACCAAATGACATTGAAGAAGCTGTGAATTTGGCTAAAGGGTTTTTGAAAAAAGCCCCAGTTCTTGTACCGGTTTATCGGTACTGTTACATAGCTTCAACGCCGGGTTTGGCTGGAAATCCCATTTTCTACGTGCATGGATGTGAGATTAGGTTATGGAGCTTTGATCTTGTTGGGTTTTTTCAACAAGTAGAGTTTAAGATGAATGATGGGGTTTTGAGGCGGCAGAGCTTGTCGAACTTGTTGAATGTACCAGCCTGGGCGGCGACGGAGGCAAGGAGGATCGAGTTTTGGACTGAATTTGTGATGAGAGAGGAGAGGGTGGTGGCGCGTGGGGACACTCGAGGGTGGTGGAGTGGGAATTTGTGTCTGGGCGGGTGTTTGGAGGAGGCTTGTTGGAGGTTGAGGGATGGAGGGTGGAAAGAGGATGATGTTAGGGAGATGTTGATGATGGACGGTGATGATGAGCATGATCATCATCATAATAAGAAACATGATCATCCTGATAATAAGGTGTTGAGAGATAAGGAGGGTGTGGTGTGGCACGTGAGGGTGTTGTCTCTTAGGTTATTGCGTGCAGGGTGGAGCACAGAAGATGTGGTGGAGTCTCTCGGATTCCCAGATGATTATGAGAATGGTGCTCATGATGGAGAGTCGTGGTTTGACTTTCAACACGAAAGCAATTCTGATGATCAAAAGAGCAGTATGAATCAGTTGATGAACTCGCATTCTATTGATGTGTAAATATGCCTGGGCTCACTGAGTTATAGTGCTTGATTGGTTCTGTGTTGAGATAGGTTTTTTTTTTTTTTTTTTTTTTTTCTGGTTATTTAATTTTTGGGACTATAATGTTCAAACTCACGATCCTAAAGTCCAACATTTGAGACATTGATCATTAAACTAATTACTAACCTCATTTTTAAGTCTTCTTGCTTCATTAAGATTGAATAATGTAGACATTTGATTCATTGCAGATGACTTCTTTAGAGATCAGAAGATAGATTTGGTTCAATTGATTCTCTCGTATCTCATATTAAATAATCATCTATTTTAAAAACTTAAAGATATTAGAGACGGTATAACTTAATTATTTATATTTTAACACGCTCTAAATTTTGGGTTTTAGCACGTGAAAATTATTTTAATAATTATAATAACGGTGAGGTACGACCACAATATTTCTTGTGATACCATATTAAATAAATATCTACTCAACAAACTTAAGTGGTTGAAGAGGGTGAAACGAACGAACTCGAAATCAAATAGGACTAGAGTAATATTGGATTGATCAAAAAACGAGACTAAAGATAGGGATGAAATAAAAAGATTATTGGCCATCTATTTTTTTTTTATATAAGGTTTGATATATTATTATTATTATTTTTTTCCAGTTGGATGAGCATAGTCCATAGAAGGTTTCGTTTGGTCAATCCATGTGTCGAAAAACGAAGAAAATGGGGGAAGGTAAAGACAAACAGAAAAATATAGTCCAAGTATTGGATTCATTTCCTTGTGCCGACTTGGTGATTCTGTGGGGTCGTCTCAAAGATAAATTGGTAGTCACAGTTCTGTCTACAACTTAGATCTTTTGGACCCAATACAACAGATGACTATATATCCATTCGATTGAGCTCCTTTAAATGCGGGGCTTATGTGAGAATATATGTTATTTTTCGTGTTTAAAGGCATAAAATAATAAATAAAAATAATTAATAATAAATATATTTATATTTATACCTAAAATTAAATTATAAATATAGAGAAAAAGAAAAAAAATTTAAACATTATTTATAGTGGGGCGAGCGGTTGTTGAGAGAAGTGGTGGTATTGGAAGATGGTAATGATTGTGATAGGTGACGATGACCGATTGTGATGATGGCAGTGAAGATGGTATTAGTGGGAGTGGTGGTGTGACGGTGACGGTTGAGGTAAGGTGACAGTAACGAGTGGTGGTGGTGATAGGGGGGGGGGGAATGGTTATGGTGGAGGCGGCGGCAATGATGATGGTTATTATGGAAGAGGTGATGATGAAGATGACACTGGTGGGGGTGGGGGTGGGGGTGGGGGTGGGTGGTAGGGTTGCAGTAGTTGTGGTGATGACAAGGTGATAAGGGGTGGTAAGGCAGTTATAAATATTTTTTTTTTTTATACTTATGAGAAGTTTTAAATCTTATAAACATTTTTAAAAAATTATCTCAAACACACCTTTAAGGACTCATTTTCTCTATTAAATTTGGGGTGTTAATATTAATCGTCGGATTAATTTTAAAATAAAATTTAAAAAAATTTTAACTGCGAAAAATAAAAATTATTTTGTTTATCTTTTGATATTTGAATTGTATTGTACTTTGTTATATAAATATATTTATATATCTATATAATAAAGTAGTTAGTTTGGTTTATCTTGAGTTTTTCGTAGTTCATATTAATTTAGTATTATCGATCCAACGATTTTAATTAATCGACATCCCTACAAGACTCTATTACATTCTTTTATCTCTCCTTATCCCTATTTAAACCATTAGAGAGATATCTACATTCCTATAGGACTTTGCTATATTTTTTTTATCTCTCCTCATCCCATTCAACAGATTGACCTAGACGGTTGTATATATAATTCAATCTATATAATAAATTGTTCAAATGCGTAGTTTAAAATTCACATAATAAAATAACTATATTAATTTGTCTTGATATTTTTGCAGTTTAGATTGTTTGAGAATTATTGATCCGATAATTCTAATTAACTTTCATTCTTTTTAAAACTCTAAGACTTCCATCTGTAATATAACTCTCTTTCTCTTATACAACCAACTCTCATATGTATATAATTTTCTCTCTCTCCCTCACAGATATTTTAAACACACACTCTCCCATCTCTTATCCTCTCTCTCTATATATATATGATAAAGTAGAACAAATTTGAATGTTGAAGACAAAAAGTGGTTTAGATTGTTTCATGACAAAAAAAAGTATTATCTAACGTTCAATTCACGCAAAAAGTATCAATTTTTCACAATATTTTCCTCTGTATCTCACAAAAATGTCACGAAAATATTAGATAGTGTCTGATTTAAGCAAATACTGCATCTCTCTATAGATAGATACTATATATTACAAAAAGAGATAATATATTACAAAAGTATTCTTCTGTATTTCTCTCTGAAGGAAAATTATATAATAAATATTAGATAGATAGTATATATCACAAAAATATTCCTCTGTATCTCTCTCTTTCATTCAAGCAATACTACAAATACGAATCATACAAATTCAATAGTCAATTTTGTTTTTTCCATAATCAATTAAAAAAACATAACTTTCAAAAAATATAATTTAACAAAGAAAATATGCTTAACCTGTAAAATATACAAGATTAAATTCAATGTATTGTGTAACTCAGATATCAAAAGATATATTAAAGAAAATATGTTTAACATTTAAAATATATAAGATTAAACTCATAAACAAACACGAATAATAAAAATTTAGTATTTAGTGAACAACACAAAGTAACAATATTTACTAAATAATTCAAATCTAAATACCCGAGAAAAATTATACATAATTACAAGCAAGAGAAACGATACAAAATTATAAGTAATACTATGAATACGAATCATACAAATTCAATATTTAGTGAACAACATGAAACAACAATATTTACTAAGTAATCTAATACTAAATAACGTTTAGTTTAAGAAAATATATTAAGAATATAAATAATTCAAAAAAATGATATAAAATTAAAATCATTACTATAAATTCGAATTATACAAATTCAATAGCAATAGTCAATTTTATTTTTTTCATAATCAATAAAAAAAAACATAACTTGCAAAAAATTTAATTTAACAAATAAAATATGCTTACAATGTAAAATATATAAGATTAAATTCAAGTTATTGAACAATTCAGATATCCAGAGATATATTAAAAAAAATATGCTTAACATTTAAAATATACAAGATTAAATTCATATACAAACACGAATTATACAAATTCAATATTTAATGAACAACACAAAGTAACAATATTTACTAAATAATCCAAATTTAAATACCCGAGAAAAATGATACAAAATTACAAACAAAAGAAACGATACAAAATTATAAGTAATACTATTAATACGAATTATATAAATTCAATATTTAATGAACAATACGAAGTAACAATATTTACTAAATAATTCAACACTAAATAACGTTTAGTTTAAGAAAATATACTAAGAATATAAGTAACCGAGAATAATGATATAAAATTAAAAACACAACTATAAACTCAAATCATACAAATTCAATAGAAGACCGTATCTTTTGGAAGTCGGTTGAATTTTTAATAATTATATTTAGTCATTTGACAACATCTGCAGATGTAGTTTATTTGTGGGAGTATTGTTATAATTTTCATTCTATTAGTTATAATTTTTGTTATTATTTAGATAAAGTTGATTATGAATGTTAAAATTGTACATTTTGAATAAAAAATAGAACATTGAATATTGTTAAGTGATATATTTTTTTAGATGTTTGAATTATTATGTTTCAATAGTTATAACATAATTTTCGTGATATAACAATTTAATGTGAAAATATATGCTATGCATGTTGGTTGATGTTATAAAAAATATTAACAGACTCATTTTGTTCGTCGTTTACTACAATGTTGTATTTTATTTTACATTTATGTATGAACAAATATTTATAACTAATTTACGAGTAACACCGTGCCTTTAGGCACGGACAGTTGCTAGTACATATATATATTGGTTTAACGGTGAAGTGTCTAGATCAGTTTATGTGCATTTCGAATAATCTTTTCCTTGGTCTGGTCAAAGGCAGGTCATCCACGTCAATATTAGGGTATTAATGAGAGATAAATTTCTCATAGTCTGATTTTAATGGGTTACCAAGATTCAAAATCAGGACACCTGAATTTATAATTTGTCTTTAATACCACTTGAACTACTGTTTATGGTCGAAAATATTCAATGCAGCGGTGAGACTACATCATCGGTGTTGTGTAATGTAATGTAATGAATAGATTTTATAATCACCAATAGGACAACTATAAATGGCTTTAAATATATATTTTTTTTATCCACAGTAAGGTGCAATGACAATTTTGTGGCACAACAATTGGCTAGGTATGCAAGATGCCTTAATGAATGTGATGTATAGGAAGAAATGACGCCTGATTTTATGGTGCCTTTCCCGCTTATGGTTGTTTTTGATTAATGAAAATTTACCTTGTTTTTAACAAAAAATAATATATATATATATATATATTATGTAAGATTATTGGAGTTCACTTGTTCTAGGGCTGGCCCAATAATTTTTTAGGCCTAAGTCAAATATTTTATCAAATGTTCCTAAATTCATCATATCCAAATTCATATTTAAGACTTTAAGTCGATTTAAGTTGAAAAATTACTCCCCATAAAAAGTATCATGTATAGATGATCATAATAAGATTCAAATATTTATATACTATAGAGATTTTTTTTTGTGGTACAAGATATCTAGTTTGTGTCAATTATTCTTACAAGCTCGACGACTGAATACCGTGACTTGAGTAGGTCTAGAACATGTCTCCAGAGGACTTAGAGTGTGTTTGAGATGACTTATAAAATCCAAAAAATACTTTTTTAGTAAATGTTTATCAAAAGTGTTTATAAGAAAAACACTTTTATTAAATAAGTATTATTTGGATATAAAAAATTTAAAATACTTAAATTAATGAATTTTATAAAAATCACGTTTGGATGTAAAAATACTTAATTGTGTCACAATTGTTAATAGTATTGAATGCACATA